GTACAACTCAACAGTCAAAAAGGAGCAACTGCTGCCACAGGTAACAACTTGCACGAATGCTGAGGGTACTGTGGTAAGTGGTGAAAACTCATCTCACACTGTAGGGTTCCTTTTACATAATATCTCAGAATGACACAGTTATAGAAATGGAGAACTGATTTAGGATTGCCAGGGAAAGGGACAGTGGGAAGTGGCTTCAGTGGGGTAGCAAAGAGAGATCTTGGGATTTTTACTGTGGCGGCGACTACTCAATTCTCTTTATGATTCTCTTTATGTACTTTTTTTTTTTTTTTTTTGGTACCAAAAATTGAACTCACAGCCTCATGCTTGCCAGGCAGGCACTATGCCGCTGAGCTGTATCCCTGGCCCTTGACTACACAATTCTAATCCATACATGTGATAAAATAACACAGAACACTCCATGTACATTGTACCAGCCTCAGTTTCCTGGTACTGTAGTTATGTGAGCTGTAAGAGTTGGGGGAACCGGGTGAAGGGAAGAAAGTACCTCTTCTATCGTGTCTGCAACCTTCTGGGAATAATTATTTCAAAATAGAAAGTTTTTTAAAAATAAAATTGTAGTTGAAAGTACTGTCTGATCTCCCCTCACCCCAGCCAGTTACTGGGGTTTGTGTCTGGTTTCTCAAATTTCCCTTTATAACCATTCTGCAAAAATTCTTGTGAAGTCCAAAGACGGTATGCCTTTCATATGCAGGAAGCTTCCTTACTCTGTCTTCATAACTTCCATTTGATAAGTGTACCATATGCTTTTTAGTTCAGACTCCATGAATATTTAGGTTATTTCCCTTGTTATAAATATTATAAGTTATTGCCATGAATTATATAAATCATTTTGCTCACTTTTTTTTTTTTGAGGCAGGGTCTCACTCTGTAGTGCAGGTGGAACTTGAACTCACTTATGCGGCTCAGGCAGGCCTTGAACCAGCGGTGATCCCCCTGCCTCAGCCTCTCAAGTGCTGGGATTATAGGTGGGCACCACCACATCTGGCAATGCCCACCTTTTTTGCGACTTCGCAGTACAAATTCCTTGAAGTGGCAAAATTGATTTTAGGGGCTGGGGATTTAGCTCAGCAGCACAGCGCCTGCCTGGCAAGCAAGAGGTGGTGAGTTCAAATCCCAGTACTGGGAAAAAAAACAACCAAACAAAAAATTGATTTTAACAGCTATGGCACATTGGCAATTTATGCTATATTTTAAGGTAACAAATTTTTTAAGAGTCTCAAAATGCTGAAAAGAGATATTTATATACATAGCCTAAATGGCAAAAAAAATTTAGTCTACTCCAAGTTACTACACATATTCAACATTAATAAAACAATATTTCTACTTGGCTAAACTAAACTTTTATATATTGATATGATACAAATGTCTAAAAGGACCACACACCCAGGTGTGGTGGTACATACCTGTAATTCCAGCACTTGGGAGGCTGAGGCAGGAGGATTGCTGCAAGTTCAAGGCCAGCCTGAGCTACCAGGTGAGTTCAAGGCCAGCCTGAACTGCAGAGCAAGACCTTGTCTCAAAAAGACAATAAGAATAATAATGATGATAAAAGGACCACACTCACTATTTTAATAGTTTATTATTACACAGATCCAGAGATAATGTGATAAAATCTTGTCTTCCTAAATATAACAACTGGCCAGGCATGGTGGCATAGGCCTGTAATCCCAGCACTCGGAGGCTGACACAGGAGGATTGCCACAAGTTCAAGGTCAGACTGGGCTACATAATGAGTTCAAAGCCAGCCTGAACTACAAACTGAAACCCTGTTTCAATCAATCAATCAATCAATCAGTCAATCAACCAACCAACCAACCAACCAATCACAGGAAAAGACCAGTATGATTGATTCACAGAGATATCTTCCCAATCCAGTGATATAAAATAGGTGCTAATGTATTAAATAAAAATTAGTTTCCATCTGTACAAAAACTTTAGCTCATCAGGTAATCAGCCTCAAAATAGTTGGGACAGGTGGAGGTGTCTCTTTTGGGTCTGGAAATGAATTTTACTTACCAGCGGAAGTTCACTGACAGCGTGTGAACGGAGCCTCCTCAGTAATCTTTCCTCTTTTTCAGCCTTTCCTGCCGCAAAGCCAAAATGTGGGCCCATGTGTGTTTTGTAGACAACAACAACAACAAAAAGAATGGCTAAGGCCAGAGAACCCAAGTGTTAACACTTTTGGAAGCCACGCATGTATCTCTTGAGTCACAGGGTGGCAGCCCTCTTGCAGCTTCGGCTGCAGGGCTGCAATCAAACCGAGAGGGCGCCCTCTATGGGTCGTCCTGGGCAACTAAATACAGGTAGAGCATCCCTAATCCGAATATCCAAAATCCAAATGCTCTAAAATCCAAAACTCTTTGAGCACAGACATGATGCCACAGGTTGCAGTCACAACACAGATGCACTAAAAAGATGTATAAAATGAGCTTCAGTCTATAGACTGTACACGAAACAAAGGAATTTCTGATTTGGACTCGGGTCTCATCCCCAAGATAATCACATTTATGCAAACATTCCAAAATCTGAAAAAAAATCAAAACCTAACACACTTCTTGCACTGGGCACGGTAGTGCACAGCTGCAATCTCAGCGCTCAGGAGGCTACAGCAGAAGGACTGCCATGAGTTTGAGACCAGCCTGCACTACAGAGTGAGACCTTGTCTCAAAACAAAAAACAAAACATGAAACACTTCTTGTCCCAAGATTTAAGTGATATTCAACCTGTAATTACTCTCACTGGAGAAGGAGCACATGGGCATTCACGTCAATGGCTTTTTCTAAACAGCCATGCTTCTAAAGTTTTCAAAACCACAACTCAACATTGAGCTGTAAAGTGGTTCAGGGGTGTCTATGGCAGTCAGCCTCACGGAAGAAGTGATGTCCCTGTGGGTGAGACTGTGAGACTGTGTACAAGTCCTTGTGCCTTATATCCTGAGTCTCAGCCTGGGATGACTACTAAGCAAAAGGTAGGTGCTGTGGCTTGTGTCCCCACCGAGCCTCATGCAGTCATAGGTGGTGTTATGGTTTGTGTCTAGATGTCCCCCCAAAGCCTCATGCAGTCATGGGACAGAATTCTAGAGTTTATGATTGACTCATGGCCCAATGCTGGGATTATGGGGGTGAGTGCTACACCTGCCCTGGGGTGGGGAACCTGCACACAATGTAAGGGAGGGAAAGAGGCTTGTTCCTTTGCTCCTTCCTTTTTGCTCTTGCTGCTTTTGTTTTCTGTCACCATGAACTGTTGCCCTCTGCCATGTGCCACTCTGCCTTGGAGCCAGCCAAGGACTGAAATATCCACAAACTGTGAGCTAAATAAACCTTTCCTTCCTTAATTCTGGATGTCAGGTATTTTATTTCAGCGAGAGAAAAGTAACCAAGAGAGGAGGTATCTTTTTCAGAGGTGGATCTAGTGTGTGTGACACTGGGATTGATTCATGGTGCCACGCTAGGATCAAGGGTGATAGGATTAAGGGTGTGAGTGCTACCTGCCCTAAGTAGCCTGGATAAGACATAAGGGGCAGAAAGAGCTGCGGTCGTTCCTTGCTTTTTGCTATCTGCGGCCTGCCATGAACTATTTTGCCTCCGCAGCACCTGCCTGCCAAGCCATCCTGCCTGGGAGCTGCTTATGGACTGAAACCTCTACAAACTGTGAGCTAAATACACCTTTCTTCCTTTAACTTTGGGTATCGGGTATTTTGTCTCAATGATGAGGAAAGAAACGAAGACAGCAGGTTTCCTGAGAAGATCTGAACTGGCCCTACCACACCTCTCCTCTGTCCTGTCCTTCTCCCAGGTGGTGAAGGGGGATGTGGGTGTATGGTGGTCCCTATTCTAGGACCCTGAATCATGAGTTAATAATAAAAACTCATTAGAAAAGTGTAAAAAAGTTCAACCAACAAGGCACCAGCAATAGCAAATGGACCTGTGCATGTGCAGGTGTGTGCATACATGCAGTCACCCTCGTAAGCCGAGTGCCTCCAGAGGGACGAGTAGGAAGCCGGGGTCAGTGCTGGCCTCCTGAGAGGGGCACCCTAGAAAGGAGATGGGGGTGAGAGGGAAACTCTCTTGCCCTTCCATTAACTTTTTAAAAGACTTTCAAATGGAGAAGCTGGGAGCATAATGCAATGAATCCCCACATATGCGCCACCCAGGCTCTCCAGCTGTCACCATTTGCCACTTTTGCTTGATATTAGTTTGCCTGAATGATTTGACTTCAACTGTGCCTATCATATGGGCAACGCAGTACAGGTTGAGCATCCCCAATCTGAACTGCATGCAGATCATCTGTCTAAATGTGTGTCTCAATAGTAATAACTGCCTCTGAGAGGAGTAGTGACAGAGTGTTGAGTTAAATGAGATGTGTGTGAAACACCTGGCATGCGCCAAGCACACAGTACCTGCTCTGTAGATGCTAACACTGGGGTCCTTCTCAGACTTCTCTTCATTTGCTGTTAGATACGGTCAACACACGGCTCTTGACTCCTTCACTGCTCTGACTTTGACACAGGCAGCACAGATGAAGCAGACAGGGCTCCAAAAAGTTCAGTGACTCAGAGACCATCCAGGAGCAAAGGGTTGGTTCTTAACTGTTATGGTTTGTGTCTGGATGTCCCCCCAAAGCCTCCTGCAGTCATGGGGTGGGCTTCTACAGTTTATGATTGATCCATGGTCCAATGCTGGGATTATGAGTGTAAGTGCTACACCCGCCCTGGGGTGGGTACTTTGCATACACTGTAAGGGAGGGAAAGCAGGTTGCTCTTCGCACCTGCTCCTCCCTTTTTGCTCTTGCTGCTTTTGCTGTATTCCGCTGCCATGAACTGTTGCCCTCTGCCATGTACCACCCTGCCTTAAGAGTCAGCTGAATATGGACTGAAACCTCCACAAACTGTGAGCTAAATACACCTTTTCTTCCTTAATTCTGGGTGTCAGGTATTTTGACTCAGCAAGGAGAGAAAAGACACTAATGCAACCCTCTTTCCACTTTTTCATCCTTTGCTCAACAACTCAAAGGCTCCTGGCAGGCCCAGGGCAGGAGCGATACTACACCCTGCAGGAAAAGTGACAGGAGCTCCAGACAGCTGTTAAAGACAGGCTGGTGAGGCTGGAAGAGGCCAAAGCTGGCCACGACATTCAGCTGATTTCAAGCTGCTCCAAGAAGATTGCTTCATGCTTACAACAGGTGCTTTGTTCCACAGATGATCTTGTGCTAAGTTTGACTATTTTCTGACATCAGGAAGTGCACTGAAAATACAAAATATAATCCAGTATGTGGTAAAAACCAAGTAACCAGAGATGTAAATAGCCCTCAAAAATATCTATATCTGTACCTATGTATATCGTATACTTTATATTCAATGTAACATACAGGTGTTAGTTTTCCATTACTATAACAAATATCTGAGATAATCAACTTATAAAGATGAAAGGTTTATTTTGGCTCACAGTTTGGGAGGTTTCGGTCCATACTGGGTTGGCCATATTGTCTTTGGGCCTATGGTGAGGCCATTCAGCATGGTGGAAGTACGTGGTAGAGTGGAAGAGTTAAAGAAACAGAGAAACAGTAAAGGGGCCAGACCCTCCTAACCCCCTTCAAGGGCACATCCCTAGTGACTAAACACCTCCTACTAGGTCTCACCTCTTAAAGCTTTCCCCTTCCAAGCCAGGCATGTTGCTGTGCGCCTATGAATCCTGGGACTCTGAGAGGCTGAGGCAAGAGGATCACAAGTTCCAGCCCAGCCTGGACAAGTTAGTGACTTACCAAGACTTTGTCACAAAATAAAAAAGAAAACACTTCCCAAATCATTTTATGAGGCCAATATTACTCTGATACCAAAATACCAAAGTCAGACAAAATAACACAAGAAAACTATAGACCGATTATTGTTCATGATCATAAAATATATCAACAAAATATTAGCAAATCAAATCCGGCAAGATGCGTGCATGTCTGTGTATCTCAGCATGACCACTTAGGGCTTATAAGAATTTAACATATACCAACTCCCCATAAGGAATGTAATAATTATGTACTGCAAACATGTATTAATAAAAAAAATGAAAACTTGGAAATAAAACCCCATGCACTCTAACACTGTAATCCACCATGTTTTTTTTTTTTTTTTTTGTGTGTGTGTGTGTGTTTTTGAGACAGGGTCTGGCTATGCAGTTTAGGCTGCCCTTGAGCTCACTTTGTAGCCTAACCTGGCCTTGAACTTGCAACACTTCTCCTGCCTCAGCCTCCCAAGTGCTGGGATTACAGGCATGCGCCACTATTCCCGGCTTGTAATCCACTATGCTAACAGACTAAAGAAGACATGATTAAATAACATGGTGCAGGAAAATTACTTGACAAAATTCAACGGCCATTCATGAGAAAAGGACTCAGTACACCAGGATCAGAAGGGAACATCATTAGCCTGAATGGGGGCATTCAGTAAACAAACAAACAAAACCCTAAAACAAACATCACAATGGTGAAAAGCTGAATGTTTTCTCTCTGAGATGGGAAACAAGGAAAAGGACATCCATTCTCCTCATTCCTGTTCAATACTGTACTAGCAGGCTGGCAATAAGGCAAGAAAAGCAAGCAAAAGACGTACATATTACAAAGGAAGAAATTAAACAGTCCCTTCCACAGACAAACTAATTATACATGCAGACAATTCCAAACAATCTAGCAGTGTAGCAAGGTTGCAGGACTTACTGTCAACACGTGAAAATCAACTATTCTTATACTGGCAACAGATGACTGGAAATGGAAAATTTTTTTACATAGCATTTGTAATAGTTTAAAACACAGAAACAAGCACAACCTACTAAAAGTTTGCAGGGCCTGTGGGCCTGCAAATTATAAAACAGTGATGAAGGAAATCTGAGAAGGCCTAACAGTAAGTGAAAGGACCTGCTGGGTGCATGGACTAGAAAATTCAGGATAACATTCTCTTGTAACTATTTTCCTCCTATGTTCTGTAGATTTAACACCATTCCAGCAGAAATTCTGTCAACATTTTTAAAAATTTAATTGTTTATTGGTACAATTTAGGTTATGTAATGATTACACTCATTGGGCAATTTACACCTGCACATATTTATTTTATTTTATTTTATTTTATTATTTTGTCTTTTTTTTTAAAGAGTAAAAGGATAACATAATAATAGGGGGGGCTTACCAAATTACAGACAAAGTGGTAGGAAATTATAATTGGTTATTGTTTTACATATTGTTATCTACAAGATAGTTTCTCAGGAAAACAAATAGACAAATAATAGTGAGTTACAGACAAAAGAGGTAGGAGATTATCAATAGTTGCTGTACTA